CGGGTAAAACTCTGTACAAGAGATTTGAACAGGTGTATTCATCCAGCTTAAAAAGTTCTTTGACTTTTTAGTAACCCGACATAATTGGAACCAGATCCAAACTATATATTATTATTGGTTATAAATTAGATATTTTATCCCTATAAAATATTAAAGACTAACCAATCACACTCCATCAAACTAACAACCTACTTATTTGTAAGTGCTGGAATTACTTGTAATTTCAGCACGAGAGCATTTTGAATTTAACTTACAACTTAGTTGCTTTCTCCAAGAGACCGACTCGTAACTAAACTAGTATACTCTAGATCTATTGAGACTAAGAGAAACAAAACTGCTCGTATCAGGGCGAAGCCCTGAATGTTCCGACTGCCATTTAAGGTTTATGGAGCAGTAATAACAATAAAAAATTAAATGAAATAAAACAAAAGGAAATTTTTTTTTCTAAAATTTGAATTTTTAAATAAAAATTATCCCCCACACGCCATATAAAGTACAACAGGATTGAATTTGCTCCTTGTAACAAATCAATTATGGCAAATAAGCTTCTTTCAATCAATTTGGAACGATTTTTTAAGACGGATTAACTCTCCGCTTACGCGTTAATAGCGCGAAATATATCGCGCGTTAATTGCCCCAATTTGGTCAAAATGGCAATCTTTAAACCCCCATAACTTTACAAAAAATGAGCACAGGTAAAATTTCTTTTCAAATTTGAGCTCAGGACAACAATACCTTTCGAATGATATAAAAAAAATTCTGTCAAAAATGGCTAGTTAAAATGTCGAATTTTGTCTGAAGAAAAAAAACTCACCCCGAGCAAAAATATTCCGTTACTTTCGTATCGAAAGTCGGAACAAAAGAGTAAGATTAAGATCGGTATTAGACTGTGAGTGGCTACATGTTTACATGTCAATCAATTTAGTTGCTATCCATTTATTACTTATCTCTGAGAGTTCTCATACTATAATTAAGTGTGATTTGGTACCTGCCTGTCAATCAGTCTTAATCTGCCTAGCTGTTATGTGTTGACCTCTAGCTTAGAGTCTTATTTATGCGAACTAGAAATCAGATGAATTAACCCTTAACAGGAACGTTTTACTATCCCTTGTTATGGCGCAGCAAGCAGATGGTGAGGGAAAAACCCCTTGGAGTTGTGGAATTCTGGCATCCGAATCAGACGGAACCACAGCTCTTATGGGAGCATTAGTAGTAGAGATTTCCTTGGGAAATGGTGGCAAAACATAGATTACTTTTGTCGGAATTTTTCTTTCCGTCAATATTAACTGCAGCGCAGATCAATGATCTGGGAGAAATTGGTGGCAAACCAAGGGAAGAAGGTGAACGTACATTGATATCGAATCTGTACCTACGTTGGGGACACGAGGGACAGTGGGCCTTGCATAATAAGCATCCACACTTGAATATGGAAACAATACGATACCCACAATTTTTGAATACCTGTGTGGCCCGTTTCCAAAAGGAGCGAAATGAGACGTATGAGATGTACCAGATGATGTCCAGGAAACAAAAAGATCGAGAAAGTTTGGAATCGTTCTATGCAGAACTCGGCGGAATGGCGGTGAGATGCAATTTGGGTACCCAAGAGCGGAAAATAGTGAGAGACATATTTATATTCAATATGAGAAACAGGGACGCGCAGAACGAGCTGTGTCGGGAAACTAAGACTCCGGAGGAAGCATTAAGAATCGCAATGTCGTATAAAAGAGGAGACAAGTACGCAAAGACATACAAGGGCGTCGCATCTGGCTCCACGGGAACCGGGAACGGCCTATTCATCGCCAGGTGGTTCTCTGCAGATCAAAACCGAACCAATCAACAATATTCGTGGATCCAGGGGACGAGGAATGCCAAAGAGCCGGGGCCAATACCCAAATCGTGGGGGGGGGGGGGGAGGTCGCACACAAGAGCGAATGCAAGAACGGGTATGTTACAATTGCGATCAGCCGAATTTCACTTCAGAACACCGACAACGATACCCAGCAAGAGCCGTCACATGCAACTTTTGCAAAAAGGTGGGCACTTTGAGAGAACTTGTCGGGGAAAACGACAGTCACGGGGGACAGCCAGTTGGACTAATCCAAGGGGATGAGCCATTTGATGAAGAGGATACTCCCTCGGATGACGTTGGGTCACAAGTTGCGGCCAATTCAGTAGGTTTTGTTAAACGAGAACACCACAGTTGGTCATCAGAGAGTTCAGACGACTACATGGTTATGGCCATTAGACGTAAGAAAGAGACGTTATTGAAAATTCCATATAATGAACACCCAATGAACATCTGGATTGACAGTGGATCGCAAATATCCATATTAACATTGGATGACTTCAGGAAAACAGTGGGACGAGCGGGAATCAATTTGAAACAAGATGACATTGAAGACGACGACTTTCGGGACTACAGCAACAATCGGATCAATTTGTTAGGAAGACTGGAGCTTGAGTTGGCATCCAACGGCTGGAAGACGAAAGCAGAAGTCCGAGTTATTGGAGGGACCAGACCATCAATCGTGGGACGTGATTTGATGGGGAAACTCGGATTCCATTTGATGCAAGCAGATCCAAGGGGGCAGTGATGAACATCCAGAGGACGGAAGACAGTTCATGTGAGAATGAGTATGTTGGAGAATCGGAGGATGAACAGATGGACCCGTGGCAACTATACTTTAGTAAGCTATTCCCAAAAGTTTTTACTAGGTTCAGAAAAATTAGAAACTACAAGGTTCAAGCGGAGTTTTTCAAAAATCTTGTACCAGTGCAGCAGAAGGGACGGAGAGTGCCGGTAACGCTTCAAGAAAAGGTGGACAAGGAGATTGATAAGCTATTAACTCAGGGACATATAGAAAAGTTGAAGGAATGTTCGGATCGATATTTTGTTTCTCCGATCGTCATCACCGTGAAAAAAGACTGGTGCGTGAAATTAGCATTGGAATCTCGAGAATTTAATAAACAAGTTCATAAAAACAAATACCAAATGCCAATTATAGAAAAACTTGTAGATACAATAGGACAACTTATTTCCGAGAAAAAACAGGGGGAGGTGTATTTTACCACGATGAATCTAACGTACGCGTATGGGCAACTACCACTTAGTGAGGAAACAAGCGTATATTGCAATTTTTATTTGGATGGCGGACGATTGACGGGAACCTACCGATTTCGAACAGGATTTTACGGGTTAACATCCATACCGGCAGAGTTCCAACGGGTGATGGACTCAATTTTGAACGAATTCCCACAAGCGAACGCGTTTATTGATGATATTTTGGTAACAACCAAGGGAACGGAAGTGGAACACATCTCCTTGGTTGAAAGAATACTCAGGAAATTCAATCGCGAAAACATCTCGTTAAAATAACCAAAATGCGAGTTTGCTAAACGAGAATGTGAGTGGCTCGGTCATCGTATAACCGAAACGGGGAAGCGGGGGTAACGCCTCTTAAACGCAAGAGATCGCCAATTGACGAACTAACGGCCCCTAAAACAGTTACTCATTTGAAATCCTTTATGGGCTCAATTCACAGCCTGCATAAATATTTACCAGCTATAGCTGAAATGTCAGCTCCCTTTAGGCCACTTCTCAGCAAGAAGAATGAATATAACTGGACCGCGGAATGTGAAAATGCCTTTCAAAGCATTAAATTGGGGGTCGCAAACATTGTTGAATGAAAACATTTTTTTGATTCTCATAAAGACTTGAGAGTTGTCTGCGATGCAAGCCATAATGGCCTTGGAGCAGTTTTGGAGCAGTTGGGCACAGAAGGGTGGCGCCCAATCGCATTCGCATCGCGGTTCTTAACCGCAGAAGAGAAAAAATATTCCACAAACGAGCTTGAAATGCTGGCAGTGGTATGGGGGGCCGAATATTTCAGAAACTACATTTTGGGAAGACCTTTCACAGTTATCACGGACCATAAGGCCCTTAATTCACTACTTAACGGGAATAACAAGAAAATCAAAACTCTATTTTCAAGATTAACACGTTGGCTAGACTGACTTTTTCCATTTGACTTTGTAATAGAACACAAACCGGGCGCAAAAATCATCAAAACACCCTAGCGAACGTCCTAAACCAATAAGTCAGTATGATAACTTGTTCACCGTTGCAAAAATCTCTTCAATTGGGAAATTCTTGATTTTACAAACAATTTAAAATCCCTTGGTGAACGAAATCATCAGGCTAATAAAAGAACTGGTTATAAACATTCTAGATAGTTCTCATCCAATCAGAATCGAAAAGGGAAAACATGCCTACAATCAACGGCGGTTGAGGGCGGAAAGTCATGTGTGAAGACACCGACCAATAGGAAGCGAGCAATTTGCATACTGCCTACGTCAACGATATCTAAGGGACATTCAGTGTGCTCTATATATCGTTCCCTTGGAAGAAGGTTAAATCAGCCTAAGCTAAAGAATTTAAATAAAATTGACTATAACTCGACTTATTCTTTTCCGGTAATTGAAATAACTTCTCAAACTAACTCTCCAAATAGATTACATTCGCAAACCAACTCTCCACTTAGATTACATGAAAACCTCCTAAGTAGTGATGAAATAACTGTTCTTAACCCAGAGATTGATGCCATTACGAAGAATACACGAGATTCAAAGATTAACACAGTACTTTCCCAGGCGAGCTTTTTCCTACCGTTAATCCAAATCAGCAATTTATCTCTATCATTCCCCGTGATTGCAAGGTCATTAAGAAATCGCAAGCGTTACCAGAACTATTTAAATTAGAATTTTTTGCCTCAAACATACCGGCGGATGTGAACGTAGTACGAGTTAAAGAAGCATTGGAGAAGAAGATCAACTTGAAGGAAGATTTCCTGAAGATTGGGAAGTGCTGGGCCCAATACGCAAACGATTTGTCATTACGGGACGCTTGTGTGTGGTTAGATTAACGGCTGGTCATTCCTTTGCCGTTACAAGTCCCAATTGAGTCGCAGATACATTATTACCATCACGGTAAAAGAAACATGTATGAAGCAGCGCGTGACGTCTGGTATCCCTACATGTACCGCAGTTTGGCAGCAAAGGCCACGTACTGTCAGCAATGCACGGAAGCGGGTAAGAACCTAAAAACTTTGTTACCCAAGGGAGACGTGGGCAAGGTCCCGGAACCAAGGGAACCAAATGAATGTATTTAGTTGGATTTCTGGGGGCCAATAAGCTATTTAAATGAGAGTAAGAAATACGTCTTAGCTGCTACGGATCGTTTTTCGAGGTGGCCATCAGCGATGGTTACTACAATCAATACTTCAGATAAAGTTTTAAAATTTCTCGATAAATACATAACTCAGCATGGTGTACCTCGGAAAATCCACGTGGATCAGGGATCATGTTCTACATCTAATAAATTTAAAAGCGTCTGTAGCAACGAGGGCATAGAGTTAGTGTACTCCCCAGTGAATGATCATCGGGGTACGGGTTCAGTGGAAACAACGATAGGAAGTTTGAAGAATTTTGTCCTAACTTATGCATCTGAAAAAGAGCATAACTCTCTGGAAGTTATTGTCGATAAAGCATTAGGCGCTTTACGGTTTTCCAAAAACGCAACGACCAAACTAACACCTTTTGAAGCTCATCACGGCCGGAAGGCGATCAACGTGTTACGAAACTTTACGAAAAAACCGGGTCTTAAAAATCTGAATTGGAAGAACGTCTTAAAACAAAAGTGTTTGTGTTTAGACGGAAATGACCCCGAAATGAGCACAATCGATTTTCCACAGCACTCAAACAGGAAAGAACGATCGGACTTGACATCAGCTCCGGCATTAAGGAGGGCACCGCTCATTCTGGACAGCGACCAGCAGATGGAAGTGGGCCAAGGGTGGTATCGGGGTTGACCCGAAAATCCAAGGGAGTGGAGACGCAGGCGGCTCCAAAATCCAAGAGAGTGGAGGTGGAGGTGACTTTTATAAGCGTACCACCAGCAGGACCCTAAATCAGTATAAACACTTAAAATCTCATGTTATCTCCGAGTCTAAACATACACGCAAGATGAAAAACGGATCTGTTCTTAGGAAAAGTGCAGTGGCAGTGAAGCCAAAGAACATTCTCCCCAAGAAATGGAAGCCGGCCACGCTCAAGGAAATGTTAATGAGTGCAAAGAAGGGGGCAATCGGGAGCCCGAAATCTAAGCGGCCAAGAGCCACACAGCGAGTACCTGAAGCCATATATCAGTCGGACAGTTCAGATAGTGAGGACTACCGGCCACTCAATATTACACCAGCGCGGCTACCAGTTGAAGTTATGGCGAGACAAGAGGTGATGCGGTGGGACAAGGCCCAAGTAGTAGTACTTCAGTAGTAGAACACGAAGCGGGAACAAGGGCGAAGCCTAAAGCAACGAAAGCGAAACAAGCGAAACGAGGGAAGGGGAGTCAGGACCGACCGGCGCTAGTTGCGAGAGAATGCCTTACAAATAGTAGTCAAGAAGAAGAATCGGGCAGTCAAAGTGAAAGCTCGGGAACAAAAAAAAAAGTACCAGAAGAAGGAAGCCAGTAGATAAAAAGGGAGGAATCATGATAGACAATATCCAAGAGGCGGAAAAGGAAGGAAAACATCCAGGGGAAGGAAACAAGTAAACTTTAAACTTAAACTCTTTCAAAACTCGTTACCCAGGGAGAAGGATGGCCATACGCCTAAAACTCAAAGTTTGTTGTTGATATGTTAGTGCGGCGGCAGGTATTAATTACTATATTAAATTTAATTACTATGTATTTGAGTTTTACATCTGTACGGAAATGTGAGAGGCTACATATTTACATGTCAATCAATTTAGTTGCTATCCATTTATTACTTATCTCTGATAGTTCTCATACTATAATTAAGTGTGATTTGGTACCTGCCTGTCAATAAGTCTAGATCTGTCTAGCTGTTATGTGTTGACCTCTAGTTCAGTGTCTTATTTATGCGAACTAGAAATCAGTTGAATTAACACTTAACAGGAACGTTTTACTATCCCTTGATAAGACTAAGAAGTTGCACGAATCTTTCCGGCCGAAAATAAGATAGCGTGACGAGCAGACGGTGTACCTTATCTGAAATTACTCTATGAGTTGACCTTAGAACATAACTCAGCGTTTTTAAGCACTTTTTGGAAATTTCACCAAAAAGTTGCGTTTTTTGGCGCGCGCTCCCCCTTTAAAATAAATAAATATTGGCGCCGAAGGCGTCTTTAAACAATTTTTTGGGTTCGTCAGCCAAAATTGGATATCTGAAAGTAGTTCAAAGGGGGACCCTTTGGGTCGGCAGAGGGTCGAATCCCTGAGAGAAGGCGTCCGCCCCTCCCCCCTTAAATCCGCCCCTGCATTTAGCCATAATGTTACATAGAAAAGAGCCAAAAGGCGACTCTAAAAGAGCCAGCAACAAAGGAACTGACAGACATAATTTTCATCAGTTTGTCCTGAAACAATTGGTAGTGCATGGTTTGAAATGAAAAAAGGGGAACTTCTATTGATTGCAAAATTATATGCACGTGGTTAAAGGCATATGTGAGAAAGACAAATGGATTTCTTTATTCACATAACTTCAAAAACTAACTGAAAGAAGTTGAAACCAAATGCAACCATTTAAAGGAAAACCTAACTGGATCAAGCTTTATGGCCCATTGCTCGCTTTGCAGCTTGGTAAGTTTCCAATTATTCGGCTCTTTTCAACTCCCCGAATTTTTGAAAATTTTGGCTCTTTTCCAGTTTTCCACCCCTAAAATTGCAAAATTAAACTGTCCAAAAATCGTTCACGTGTTAATTTGCATGTAATAAATGTAGTGAAAGTTTGGGCTCTTTTTCCTTCCCCCCCCCCACCTGCAAATTTTGAAATTTGAAGTTACTGTTCACTTTGTCCGATTGTCATGAAAATTGACATGCAGACTAATTAGGCCATGACAAACATATTTGGTTTTCATAATTAACCTTTTAAAACCACTCGTTAAGCCATAAAATTCATGTATGAGTGAGGTGGGGGGGGGGGGGTGGGTTGAGGAAAAAGAGCCAAAGTTTGTTTGCCTGTTCACCCTGACATGTTTTAAAGCAGTGCAGGCGCAGATCTAGGAATTTTTCGAGAGGGGGGATGCGGATTTTCTTTTTTTTAGGTCAACCATTTGATTTTCTGAGCTCTTCCAAATCACTATAAAGACCCTAACTTGACAAATTTTTCTGCGGCGCAGACAAATTTGTAAAAAAACGGGCCGAAAAAGGCATTTTTATGCATTTTTTGGAAATCTTCGACCAAAAAACCGCGTTTTTGTGCCCCCCCCCCCTCAAAATTAGCCTAGAATGGCTCCGAAAACGCTTTTAGAAAAATTTCAAGTCAGTCGGCCAAAAATGGGGCTCTTTTTCCTTTTCCCCCCACCTGCAATTTTTTATAATTAAAATCACTGTTCGCTTTGTCCGATTGTCATGAAAATTGACATGCAAATAAATTAGGCCATGAAAAGCATATTTAGTCTTCAAAACTAACCTTGTAAAAAGACTCGTTAGGCCATAAAAATGATGCTCATGTGGGGTGGGGGGGGGGGGAAGGAAAAAGAGCCAAAAACGGATATCTCAAATTGGTACAAAGGGTGACCCTTTGGGTCCGCAAGGGGTTGAATCCCTGAGAAAGAGGCGTCCAACCCCCCCCCCCCTAAATCTGCTACTGATGCAGTGTATAACATGAAAAGGGGGACTGGAAAAGAGCCAAGGTATTTTTCATTCGCATAGCCCCTCAGCAATTTGGAGCCACCTCACATTAATATAAGGCTCTTTTCCAGTTTCCCCCCTTTCAAATTCAATTTTGAAAAGTCTATTTAACGTTGTCACAATGCAATGAAATTTGGCGTGGTGAACAAATCGACAATTCTGAACTGAGTTGTTCTTTTTTTTTTTTTTATTTTTTATTTGCCCCCGGCCTGCTCAGTGCAGGACCAACCGTGGGGGAGGGGAAGATGTCATCCATTTTGGCGCAGCCGGTCCCACCTTGGTCCCTGAGTTGTTCTTCATACTTTACAGCGTAACTCCACGCATTTAGCCGTAATAACACGTAAAACAAATATAAAACTCGTTATTTTGAAGGGGGAACTGGAAAAAAGCCTTCTTAATCCCATCTTACGGCTATGAAGTTTGTGGTTATTGGCTGGAAGTGGGGCTATGATGGGAAAAAACCACATTTTCATATCAATTTGACGACTTTATCCAAAATAAAGAGTATGAAACTTGCTGGTTGGAGTGGCGGAATTACAGAGTAGCCATGCTCACGTCCGATTTCCTGCCCTCATCGCAGAAAGACTAGACTTTTTTGCAGTTTGCGCGTTTGGTTTTTGCTGAATTTCGACTTGTGGGCTCTTTTTCATTTTTCCCCACATTTCAAACTTTCGTTTGTCTTAGTTGCCTTAAAGGTTACAATGGCTGGATGCGTGATGTTTGATGTAAGGTATGAAGGAAAAACCAGCAGTGAGCAGTTATTTTGTTCACCATGTAAGATTTCATTTCATAATGACAACATTAACATAGTTTTTTAAAACTGAAACTCAAATGTGAGAAAAAAATGAAAATAGCCAATACTCTCCCACATTTGAATTTCAAGTCTTAAAAACTATTTTAACGTTGTCATAATGCAGAAAAATTTTGCTTGTTGAACAATCTAGCAAATGTGAAAAAATTTTGTCTAAATCATTGACATCCTAAAATCACGCAATAAAATCCCGTTATAGCACGTAAAGCAATGTTCCGATTATTGGAAGAAAACCTATAAATTTTGGCCAAAATGAAAATGAGAAACGATGTCGTACAAAATTAATACGATCGATCCTATTAGCTAGCCTCAATTCAATTTGAAATGATTTTGCTGCATGAGATAATTTGCCAAGCATTGAAAATTTGCGTTATGCGCTCAGCAAAACAAAAAAACTTTTCAAAATGCTTCTAATTTAGTCCAGTACATGGCCAATTTGGCAATTTTGGACCCCCCCGATATTCTGGCTTTTTTAACTAAAAAAAACAAGAAACAAAATTGGCTGAAATCAAGGAAAAATCTTTTTCTCTATCTGAGAACCAATAAATGGCAATTTCTAGCAAGTTAGATTGCCCGGAATTAGGCAAAGTTTAGCAAATTACATTGCCCGGAATTAGCAACATTATTCAAACTATCAAGCAAAATTGTGGGGTTGATCATGCGTTGATTTGATGACTTTTTATATTCGATTCATGCAGTTGAATTAACAGAAACTTAATTGCAAACCAATTCTGAATCGACTAAATATTAGCATTTTTTGTTCTCTCAGGTTCGGCTCATATTTGAAACTTTGAAACAGAAGCGACCTAGGCAGAATTCGAATCTACGCCGAACCCACCGGAACGCACTGTGTTTACCCTCGGCTACTGTCCTTTTACTGGCTTTCAAATACTTTCAAATTAATGCCATGTAGCTTTCACATCCTCCGCCACCGAAGGAGCGAGAACCACAAAGAGCCTAATGAGCGGTCGTGTGCAGTTTTCGGAGACGGTCCTAAGGTTTGCGGAACGGGTGGTGTTGTTTTTGCCGTAGTGTAGCGACATGCTAGTGGGTTGGGGCCACTAGGGCTAGTCTATTCAACTAACCACACTAAATCTCCCCTTTTCAAAGTATCTTCGGGAAAAGCATGCCACTTAACTCTCTATTGAATGTCGAGTCGTACTCCCTTAAATTTGGCTGCTAAATTTTGTTCGCTTAAGACTGTGCGCGGGCATAGCGTTTAGAGTGAGAATAGTTTTCGCTCAATCTTAGAGAAGGAAACGTCTGACCTAAAGGAAAATGCTTCGGCGTCAAAAGCTTAAGTCTATTTGGGTCGTGGGAAGCAGAAGTGTGTGGACGGGCGATAAATGAACTTTCAACTAGGCACATGGTTGTGTTCATAATCTCGTCAGTCACTTTTCGTGACCCTCAGATTGTATAGAACACGCGCTTACAATTGCGCACCACTCTAATAAATTTAAAAGCGTCTGTAGCAACGAGGGCATAGAGTTAGTGTACTCCCCAGTGAATGATCATCGGGGTACGGGTTCAGTGGAAACAACGATAGGAAGTTTGAAGAATTTTGTCCTAACTTATGCATCTGAAAAAGAGCATAACTCTCTGGAAGTTATTGTCGATAAAGCATTAGGCGCTTTACGGTTTTCCAAAAACGCAACGACCAAACTAACACCTTTTGAAGCTCATCACGGCCGGAAGGCGATCAACGTGTTACGAAACTTTACGAAAAAACCGGGTCTTAAAAATCTGAATTGGAAGAACGTCTTAAAACAAAAGTGTTTGTGTTTAGACGGAAATGACCCCGAAATGAGCACAATCGATTTTCCACAGCACTCAAACAGGAAAGAACGATCGGACTTGACATCAGCTCCGGCATTAAGGAGGGCACCGCTCATTCTGGACAGCGACCAGCAGATGGAAGTGGGCCAAGGGTGGTATCGGGGTTGACCCGAAAATCCAAGGGAGTGGAGACGCAGGCGGCTCCAAAATCCAAGAGAGTGGAGGTGGAGGTGACTTTTATAAGCGTACCACCAGCAGGACCCTAAATCAGTATAAACACTTAAAATCTCATGTTATCTCCGAGTCTAAACATACACGCAAGATGAAAAACGGATCTGTTCTTAGGAAAAGTGCAGTGGCAGTGAAGCCAAAGAACATTCTCCCCAAGAAATGGAAGCCGGCCACGCTCAAGGAAATGTTAATGAGTGCAAAGAAGGGGGCAATCGGGAGCCCGAAATCTAAGCGGCCAAGAGCCACACAGCGAGTACCTGAAGCCATATATCAGTCGGACAGTTCAGATAGTGAGGACTACCGGCCACTCAATATTACACCAGCGCGGCTACCAGTTGAAGTTATGGCGAGACAAGAGGTGATGCGGTGGGACAAGGCCCAAGTAGTAGTACTTCAGTAGTAGAACACGAAGCGGGAACAAGGGCGAAGCCTAAAGCAACGAAAGCGAAACAAGCGAAACGAGGGAAGGGGAGTCAGGACCGACCGGCGCTAGTTGCGAGAGAATGCCTTACAAATAGTAGTCAAGAAGAAGAATCGGGCAGTCAAAGTGAAAGCTCGGGAACAAAAAAAAAGTACCAGAAGAAGGAAGCCAGTAGATAAAAAGGGAGGAATCATGATAGACAATATCCAAGAGGCGGAAAAGGAAGGAAAACATCCAGGGGAAGGAAACAAGTAAACTTTAAACTTAAACTCTTTCAAAACTCGTTACCCAGGGAGAAGGATGGCCATACGCCTAAAACTCAAAGTTTGTTGTTGATATGTTAGTGCGGCGGCAGGTATTAATTACTATATTAAATTTAATTACTATGTATTTGAGTTTTACATCTGTACGGAAATGTGAGAGGCTACATATTTACATGTCAATCAATTTAGTTGCTATCCATTTATTACTTATCTCTGATAGTTCTCATACTATAATTAAGTGTGATTTGGTACCTGCCTGTCAATAAGTCTAGATCTGTCTAGCTGTTATGTGTTGACCTCTAGTTCAGTGTCTTATTTATGCGAACTAGAAATCAGTTGAATTAACACTTAACAGGAACGTTTTACTATCCCTTGATAAGACTAAGAAGTTGCACGAATCTTTCCGGCCGAAAATAAGATAGCGTGACGAGCAGACGGTGTACCTTATCTGAAATTACTCTATGAGTTGACCTTAGAACATAACTCAGCGTTTTTAAGCACTTTTTGGAAATTTCACCAAAAAGTTGCGTTTTTTGGCGCGCGCTCCCCCTTTAAAATAAATAAATATTGGCGCCGAAGGCGTCTTTAAACAATTTTTTGGGTTCGTCAGCCAAAATTGGATATCTGAAAGTAGTTCAAAGGGGGACCCTTTGGGTCGGCAGAGGGTCGAATCCCTGAGAGAAGGCGTCCGCCCCTCCCCCCTTAAATCCGCCCCTGCATTTAGCCATAATGTTACATAGAAAAGAGCCAAAAGGCGACTCTAAAAGAGCCAGCAACAAAGGAACTGACAGACATAATTTTCATCAGTTTGTCCTGAAACAATTGGTAGTGCATGGTTTGAAATGAAAAAAGGGGAACTTCTATTGATTGCAAAATTATATGCACGTGGTTAAAGGCATATGTGAGAAAGACAAATGGATTTCTTTATTCACATAACTTCAAAAACTAACTGAAAGAAGTTGAAACCAAATGCAACCATTTAAAGGAAAACCTAACTGGATCAAGCTTTATGGCCCATTGCTCGCTTTGCAGCTTGGTAAGTTTCCAATTATTCGGCTCTTTTCAACTCCCCGAATTTTTGAAAATTTTGGCTCTTTTCCAGTTTTCCACCCCTAAAATTGCAAAATTAAACTGTCCAAAAATCGTTCACGTGTTAATTTGCATGTAATAAATGTAGTGAAAGTTTGGGCTCTTTTTCCTTCCCCCCCCCACCTGCAAATTTTGAAATTTGAAGTTACTGTTCACTTTGTCCGATTGTCATGAAAATTGACATGCAGACTAATTAGGCCATGACAAACATATTTGGTTTTCATAATTAACCTTTTAAAACCACTCGTTAAGCCATAAAATTCATGTATGAGTGAGGTGGGGGGGGGGGGGTGGGTTGAGGAAAAAGAGCCAAAGTTTGTTTGCCTGTTCACCCTGACATGTTTTAAAGCAGTGCAGGCGCAGATCTAGGAATTTTTCGAGAGGGGGGATGCGGATTTTCTTTTTTTTAGGTCAACCATTTGATTTTCTGAGCTCTTCCAAATCACTATAAAGACCCTAACTTGACAAATTTTTCTGCGGCGCAGACAAATTTGTGAAAAAACGGGCCGAAAAAGGCATTTTTATGCATTTTTTGGAAATCTTCGACCAAAAAACCGCGTTTTTGTGCCCCCCCCCTCAAAATTAGCCTAGAATGGCTCCGAAAACGCTTTTAGAAAAATTTCAAGTCAGTCGGCCAAAAATGGGGCTCTTTTTCCTTTTCCCCCCACCTGCAATTTTTTATAATTAAAATCACTGTTCGCTTTGTCCGATTGTCATGAAAATTGACATGCAAATAAATTAGGCCATGAAAAGCATATTTAGTCTTCAAAACTAACCTTGTAAAAAGACTCGTTAGGCCATAAAAATGATGCTCATGTGGGGTGGGGGGGGGAAGGAAAAAGAGCCAAAAACGGATATCTCAAATTGGTACAAAGGGTGACCCTTTGGGTCCGCAAGGGGTTGAATCCCTGAGAAAGAGGCGTCCAACCCCCCCCCCCCCCCCCTAAATCTGCTACTGATGCAGTGTATAACATGAAAAGGGGGACTGGAAAAGAGCCAAGGTATTTTTCATTCGCATAGCCCCTCAGCAATTTGGAGCCACCTCACATTAATATAAGGCTCTTTTCCAGTTTCCCCCCTTTCAAATTCAATTTTGAAAAGTCTATTTAACGTTGTCACAATGCAATGAAATTTGGCGTGGTGAACAAATCGACAATTCTGAACTGAGTTGTTCTTTTTTTTTTTTTTATTTTTTATTTGCCCCCGGCCTGCTCAGTGCAGGACCAACCGTGGGGGAGGGGAAGATGTCATCCATTTTGGCGCAGCCGGTCCCACCTTGGTCCCTGAGTTGTTCTTCATACTTTACAGCGTAACTCCACGCATTTAGCCGTAATAACACGTAAAACAAATATAAAACTCGTTATTTTGAAGGGGGAACTGGAAAAAAGCCTTCTTAATCCCATCTTACGGCTATGAAGTTTGTGGTTATTGGCTGGAAGTGGGGCTATGATGGGAAAAAACCACATTTTCATATCAATTTGACGACTTTATCCAAAATAAAGAGTATGAAACTTGCTGGTTGGAGTGGCGGAATTACAGAGTAGCCATGCTCACGTCCGATTTCCTGCCCTCATCGCAGAAAGACTAGACTTTTTTGCAGTTTGCGCGTTTGGTTTTTGCTGAATTTCGACTTGTGGGCTCTTTTTCATTTTTCCCCACATTTCAAACTTTCGTTTGTCTTAGTTGCCTTAAAGGTTACAATGGCTGGATGCGTGATGTTTGATGTAAGGTATGAAGGAAAAACCAGCAGTGAGCAGTTATTTTGTTCACCATGTAAGATTTCATTTCATAATGACAACATTAACATAGTTTTTTAAAACTGAAACTCAAATGTGAGAAAAAAATGAAAATAGCCAATACTCTCCCACATTTGAATTTCAAGTCTTAAAAACTATTTTAACGTTGTCATAATGCAGAAAAATTTTGCTTGTTGAACAATCTAGCAAATGTGAAAAAATTTTGTCTAAATCATTGACATCCTAAAATCACGCAATAAAATCCCGTTATAGCACGTAAAGCAATGTTCCGATTATTGGAAGAAAACCTATAAATTTTGGCCAAAATGAAAATGAGAAACGATGTCGTACAAAATTAATACGATCGATCCTATTAGCTAGCCTCAATTCAATTTGAAATGATTTTGCTGCATGAGATAATTTGCCAAGCATTGAAAATTTGCGTTATGCGCTCAGCAAAACAAAAAAACTTTTCAAAATGCTTCTAATTTAGTCCAGTACATGGCCAATTTGGCAATTTTGGACCCCCCCGATATTCTGGCTTTTTTAACTAAAAAAAACAAGAAACAAAATTGGCTGAAATCAAGGAAAAATCTTTTTCTCTATCTGAGAACCAATAAATGGCAATTTCTAGCAAGTTAGATTGCCCGGAATTAGGCAAAGTTTAGCAAATTACATTGCCCGGAATTAGCAACATTATTCAAACTATCAAGCAAAATTGTGGGGTTGATCATGCGTTGATTTGATGACTTTTTATATTCGATTCATGCAGTTGAATTAACAGAAACTTAATTGCAAACCAATTCTGAATCGACTAAATATTAGCATTTTTTGTTCTCTCAGGTTCGGCTCATATTTGAAACTTTGAAACAGAAGCGACCTAGGCAGAATTCGAATCTACGCCGAACCCACCGGAACGCACTGTGTTTACCCTCGGCTACTGTCCTTTTACTGGCTTTCAAATACTTTCAAATTAATGCCATGTAGCTTTCACATCCTCCGCCACCGAAGGAGCGAGAACCACAAAGAGCCTAATGAGCGGTCGTGTGCAGTTTTCGGAGACGGTCCTAAGGTTTGCGGAACGGGTGGTGTTGTTTTTGCCGTAGTGTAGCGACATGCTAGTGGGTTGGGGCCACTAGGGCTAGTCTATTCAACTAACCACACTAAATCTCCCCTTTTCAAAGTATCTTCGGGAAAAGCATGCCACTTAACTCTCTATTGAATGTCGAGTCGTACTCCCTTAAATTTGGCTGCTAAATTTTGTTCGCTTAAGACTGTGCGCGGGCATAGCGTTTAGAGTGAGAATAGTTTTCGCTCAATCTTAGAGAAGGAAACGTCTGACCTAAAGGAAAATGCTTCGGCGTCAAAAGCTTAAGTCTATTTGGGTCGTGGGAAGCAGAAGTGTGTGGACGGGCGATAAATGAACTTTCAACTAGGCACATGGTTGTGTTCATAATCTCGTCAGTCACTTTTCGTGACCCTCAGATTGTATAGAACACGCGCTTACAATTGCGCACCACTCGCTCCCATGCTTCACCCTGATGTGGTGCACTAGGTGGTTTATACTTCCTCTTGATGCCTTTGTTTAAGAGCGGCAATAGGGCTTACAATTTTTGATGCACAGGAGAGACTCTTTTTTGGCTCCTAAAAAGTTGGTTCCATTGTGCGGCCAATTTATCGAGGGTGTTCACCGCCTAGAGATAAAGCGGTCGATAGTTATCACGCATGAACTTGTGTCCTTAGATAAAACCAAAATAAAGTGACTGGAGCAAGTCGTTCAACAGGTAAATAGAAACTCCAGCGTTGTTGGCGAATAGTTACATAAATTGGTCCAAAACAGTCGACCCGTCAAATCGAGATCGGCGGCTGGCGG